TGCGTGAGAAAGTATTGACATTATATGGTTATGACGGACTAACCCTTGGTTATAGCATCCTTAATGTGTCAATTTCTTTTTGTCTTGAAAACTAAATTTATATTTTTTCAATGATAGTCATGGTTATCGCCTTCGCATATCTATTTCTGTCACTTTTCGATTCGAATATGTAAAACGGTCATATCCCCTGGTATTCAAATCTTGTATCAAAGATCGACCGTGTACGAACAATTATTGTTTGTCAATTTGCCTTTCGCCTTCCTGGTATCTCTGTGGATAGAAGTACTCAAGATTTGACTTGCTAATATTTACACTGAAAGAAATAACAAAAGCCTGGTGATGCTCACTAAATCACAGCACGGGGTTTGAACAGCAAAATAGCCTCAGATTTAATGCAAACGGAAAAGGTCGATACCGCACACAATTCGATGTTAAACTGCGTTAGGTAAAACAACATTATACACAGTATTAACTCGGCTGCAAACATTGCACATCCTAACCTCGAGGAGCGTACTATGCAAATTGTGGATAATACGGAAAGATTGATCCCTCAGCGCGGCGCTTCAGTTTCCCTGTTGTGATCACAGACACTTATTCTTTTGCAGTTGTTTAACTATTCCAAATCAAAAACTAGATAAGCATCGATTTTCTGAATAGGGTGTAAGCTGAAAGAACTGCCGGTGGCCCTCTGAAACCGAAGCCCAGTTGCACAGAAAATGTTACGTGTAATGGGATAGGAAGTCCTGGATATTTCTTTTAGATGTACTTAAAGGCTATGGGGCTTATTTTTCCATATAGTTAAAGGTCACTTCTCTTTGAGAAAAACCAACCAGATACATTTGATCAACCTTTTAGTCATTCAAATGGCCAGTTTTTGAAATCCAGTCACCCGAGATTTTGCGATTTCATCAAGGCAACGTTCGTCCACCTAAGTAACGCGACCTTTCAGATCGATTTTTAGGGTTTCTCTTTTTTGCCACATTTCCTCCCACTGTTCAGTCTCTGCAGCACAAGTGCACAAAGCACATTCAAAAGTGAACGGAATCATTCATCCAACACAGATGAGCAGATGTTTGAGAACCGTAGACAAATGCCCAGTGGGCAAAATAAAGCTGGAGGCCAGTCAGTGGGCATTGTTTTACCGGGAAGTACTGTGGGATAGAGTATAACAAACCTGTGCACTCTACTCACCAGGGCTCCACGAATGTTTGATACTAAATAACACGTTTAATGTGTAGAATAATGTGTAGAAGTGCCTTTGCTTGAAAACTTATGAGAAAGATGAGCGAGTTAGAAGATAAACAGTTATCTTTTTCGAATCAGGCAAAAAATGATCTACACTTTACAATTTTAACATGTAATGGTTATATCTGCCTGCAAGATAGAATTTTGTGCCAGGTGAGAACATTATGAACCTGAGATCTCCATTAAGTAAATGAAATGATGGCAAATATGTCATAAATCCAGGTACCCCCTTCTCTCTCTCTCTCTCTCTCTCTCTCTCTCTCTCTCACACACACACACACGCACACGCGCGCACGCCCGCATATATATACATGTACCGTCTGAAAAGACAGAGAATATCATCCTTGTAAACCTCTCTTAGTTCTAGCTGTGCCAATCACCTCCAGAATGTTACCTATTTACCATGAAATAATCCCCCTAATTTGGTATTGTGCAACGCATGATGAGGGGCGTCTTGGCAGGAGGCCTTAGGAGAAAGTATTGGAGACAATCATAGCTGAGCCCTTGCCAGAAGAAGACGTTAGAGGAGATCAATGTGGTAGCAGGAGAATTTAATTGCCTCCCAGTGACGCACTGATCAATTTCATGATTTCAATCTTACCATGGTCCAGAGCGAATGCAATTACAGTTTTACTTTTGATGTATACATCGGCGTAATTTTGGTGTCCTGTGTATTTGCATGCAATGGACTCCAAATTTAATCAGAAAATCTAATCTTGACATATATTGTCAATTTGTTTGCTTTAACTGTGTTATAGTTATTTATACCATGTCTTTTGTTACGGAATTAGCATTTAATTGACACAGTCAACATAAAGTTACAAATATTGATACATTCATAAAACTGACTCAAATATCCTAATCTACAAATTTGTCCATCCAAAGACAACATTTAGGCAGGCCAAAATGAGGTACTATGCAATGGAAGGCAAATACCCACGAATTTTGTTATTTTAGACGGGACATCTATGATGCAAATGTCAGATGAGTTTGGTGCACACCTCGGCAAACTCTGTTGTAACACGTACCACGACAAGCAATCTAGTTTTAAATAATTAAAATATCAACCATGGACTCTACCACATTTCGCTTATTTCAGTATTTTTTAATTTGATTTAATTTAAAAGCAATGTCTGACTAATGCGTTCGTATTCCCTACTGAGTCGGCCAAGGTAATTTGGAGGTTCATAGTCCATTTGCACCTCGCCTTTTTACTTTTTACAAAAACTATTGCGAGACGCGGAAAGGTTTTGATTATAGAGCTGAGGCAACTTATAACTGAAACTGACTGCCCCAAATTCAACTTAGAGAAATTTCATGAATTCCCAAAACAGTTCGTGGAAAAAGTCTGTTTACCATTTCGAAATATTAAACAAATGGGGGTTAAAAGGTAGAGGAAAATTATCAAATTAGTAGAGGTGTCCACGTAAACTGGCGAGCAGTGTCCAAGACAGTACTGACCATGTTAAATAAACGTGCACAAATAACTGTGGAAGGCTGAGTCAACAAAACTTGCCACCTGACTTCTTTTAACTGAATTACTTGAATTATTGACACAGCAGTCGAACGGGCCGTGGAAAAAATAAATAGGAGTAAATATTTCGAAAAAGGAAAAAACGCCATTCCATACTAGTTATTTTGGAAAAATTGATTTCATTTATAGGAGGGATCGTAGTGGTGAAAAGGCATAGACAGAACATAAATGGACGAAAGTTCAATTAAGTGAAAGAATTAAATTGGCCAAAATTAATTGTGTTTTTATGATTGGCATCGGCCCAAACTTCAGTGCAATACACACATGTGCGACGAGATTGTACTCTTTCTCTTTTTTTCTTTTAAAGGAAAGATGACGCTGATCTATCAGCTAATTAATAAAGGCCAAAGTCGATTTGAGGACATTTTTTTCATAAACGTGGTCATTTTTCGTTCCAAGGCACGCTCTTCTTTAATACGTCAACTAGTGTTGGATTGTATCGATCAATTGATCATACGTGAATATAATGCCAATCATGATCATTTGCCCTTTATCTTATTGACAGTGTCGGTACTCTAGATAAACATTTTGAAAATGTAAACTAGGAAACTTACTAGCCTCAGGTTTTCTTAAAAAGGTTATTTTGGTGGAAAGTTCAATTAACCATTTGCCTCTGGGTTGTGATGTCTTGTAGGCCCACCGTGATGTTGTAGAATCCTCTATTTAAACTTTTATTCACTTTATTTTCCTTTAGACCAAATAATTCTTGTGGGACAAAACACATGAGTTCAGCTATATAGACCTTTTCACAGAGAATCGCTTCTATCATTTGAAGGAAAATATTTGTGTGGATTAAAGGCTGTATTATACTGTATTATGAAAATTCAACTTTTTGTTCAGGTTGCAAGTCATATTTAACTTGTCATTGTAAAAGCGGTCAGTCAAAGTTAATCACAATGAAGCCGGTCCAGTGCAAAATAAACCCAACAAATCACTGGCTAAAATAACTGCTTGTTTCCCGGTCAAAGTTGACGTTAGGAAAAGAATGTGTGGTTTTAGGGTGTGACATTACACTAAAAACACAAGCCTTCTTAGTTCTAGGATCGACTGTTTACTTGACCACATTCTATAGACTTCTACTCAGTTAACGTTATTGTTCTCACATTTTATTTGATTTATTTTCGCCACCCCATTTCGGTGACCATTGCTTAAATGTGCAATAAAATTTATTTGGAGTTAGCTTATATATATAAAAAATAATAATAAATAAAATAAAATAAAATAAAAAAATTGCCTCATTTGCCTCATCGCAAGATACTTTTCATAATCAAGACAAAATGCTAGCAAAATTCTAAGCTAAGTTTCTAAGACGAATAACAGACAAGGGAAATAAACTATATTCAAAACAAAATAAATGGTGATTTAAAAACAGTAAAGTCCGAGCACATACACATTACAGGCTATGCATATGATGCATTGTTTACATAAAACGATTTTTCAGCACTGAATTACTTGTTGCTCAATTAATTATTCCTGCCTTAATCGTAATAGTCAGTAACCAAAATACCGCCTGGGGACACAAGGTTGGCCGACACAATAACGCAGTATCAGCGATCAATACACTGGTCTCCAGCACCACCAAGGAACACGCCACTCGACCACATTGTGTTAGGTGAGACAGTGGCTAAAGCAAAAACCACTTTTTTCAACATCTCTCAGGGTGAGTGTGTATGTGTATGTTGGGGGGTGGGGGTGTAAATGCTTTTGTCGCAATTTTTCAGATAACTTGAGCGAGTTTAAGTAACAATATATGTTGGAATTAATCTGAGATAACAGAAAAAAAAAAAAAACGGTTTTAAATGCATCTAGAAATAGTAGCTGGATCCTTAGCGTCTTTGAAGGAGTGGATATTCCACAGCATTGTACACATACATTACAGATTAATTTGAATAATCTATGCCATCAACTCACCTATATTTTGATGAAAAAAATGTTAATTTACCAAAACATGATAGTGTTATCTTTTTTATCACAATTTTTGGAAATCAAATAACATTTTCAAAAATTTAATTGGCAGTGGTACAATCAGATCACTTATAATTTATTATAATTAAAACTATATTATTATAGATGAAATTGTTGATTCTTCTTGAACAAGTGACTTTAAATGAAATGAAGATGCAACAAAAAGACCAAGGCAGAAATTGTGAACAATGTTGAAAATTTATTTGCTATTTAACTTTTTTTGACACATCAATTTAAAAATATCAAAATGCCCACAATTCCATGAGATCTATTTTTTTAAACAATACAATGTGTCAAATTAAAAACAAAAACACAAATAAATATCCTGCAAAGTCACGTCTCGGCACTAAAAAGCTGTCAATATAATGTAAATATATTTTCATATTTTCAAAGCAAAACAAAACAAAACAAAGCAGATAGTTATTTAAACCCACACATTAATTAAAAAAAATGTGATTCCAGAGTTATTACCTACAACTTATAAATATTTATATAATTGAGTGTATGGAGTTCAGTCTGGAATCACATTTTTTTAAATTGATGCTCGAGTTTAAATCACCTAAATAGATCTAGGTTTTCATTGCACTGACCAACCCTGTCCTCTTCCTATTTCCTTTAAATCCATTTCCTCAATGCAATACACAAACTACTGAGAAGCCAACATCTCACTTAAAAAGGGGAAAAAAATACTGGTAAATGAGACAGGAAACCACACCTTTTGTTCTTTGATGGTAAATAAATAACAGGTTAAATGATAAGTCTTTAATTATTTAGTACATGAGACACACAACAAGTATTTAACATCCAAAATAAAGCCCACAAACACTTAATAAGCTAATGATACAACTGGACTAGTGCATAAGATGCGAGGTCAAAACAGTTTCCAAGGATAACCAACTTCAGTGAAGAAAACTATAAATGAAAAATAGTATCTGACTCAACATCATGACCACTTAAATAACCTTAATATAACAATTCAATTTTTAATATATTCTAAACAAACAACTACAGTTACACCAACAAAATATCTTAAAGTGATCACACTTGGTGAGAAAACACATATAATCAAACGTGAGCACACTCCAAGATATGCTAAGAAAGATTTCATAAGCTGTGTTAAACAATCATCTACAGTAACTGTTGTCCCTGTACTTTTCTTAAACAACAACTTGAATCAAAGTCACTGTGCTCAAATATTTCTGTCTGTCAAAACTTGTAGTGTCATTTTCTGGAGGCCACTTGACAGACACCAAAATACTGGAAAACAATAAGTTATTTCAGCTGTTGAGCACAGGAACTAAAATATTTTTATATCTCTATAACATCTCCCTGATAACTTACATGTGTTGCACCTTGGGCTCATGTAAAATAGGTCCAAGCTTATACATATAAGCAAGACGTGAACATGTCATAAATTAACAATTGAGAGGTATACTGATCTTATAACAGCAATTCTAAAATGTATATGTAAATGGGTGTGAAGGCAGCCTTGTATAACATCACTTGTAATTGTAAAGTACAGAAACATTTGTAAATATATAAAATCCCTGTATTTCTATGAAATAGAAATGCTATTTCTATGAGGTATGTTGAAATGCATTTGTTGGTACACAATCTGATCAGAACAATACTGGTATGAGATTACTGCTGTACAGGGAACAGATCCAGGATTTAATGTCATCACAACTGAAGATAAATGACTTTAAAGATGGGTTCTTTCCGGAAAAAAAAATAATAAAAATCAAAATAAATAAATAAAAGGTCTATTTTAGATATAAATGTCACCCCCTTGCAACTTAAGCAATAATTTGAAAAATTCAATTCAAGCATTAGACTAATAAGCCAATGGCTTAACCCTTGTCCGCATAGCAATAATTTGAAAAATTCAATTCAAGCATTAGACTAATAAGCCAATGGCTTAACCCTTGTCCGCATAATCACTTGGTAAATTCAAACTGATTCATAATATTTTCAAAAGCAACATCTGCATAACTATAACTAAAAAGATATTGGTGTTTTTCAAAACCATGCAGTAAGGTTGATGTATTTTCAAGTATTGCTAATAATTAAAAATATTGAAGAAATAAAATACTAAAATTAGGGGGTTGCTTGACACATGTGAGGTATGACTGTGATAACCATCTTAAACCAGCTATGTGGAGTGAGGTATATGATTCAACTGGCCAAATCATTTCACCTTTCTTCATGCTAATTGTGTTACCAATACAGCACCACTGTGAGACTGTAAAAACTTGAGGTATGAATTAAGTCCAATCTATTGACCTGATCTTATATGGGCTATTTATATCAGTCCCAGTCATGCAGTAAGGTTAATGTATTTTCAAGTATTGCTAATAATTAAAAATATTGAAGAAATAAAATACTAAAATTAGGGGGTTGTTTGATACATGTGAGGAATGACTGTGATAACCATCTTAAACCAGCTATGTGGAATGAGGTATATGATTCAACTGGCCAAATCATTTCACCTTTCTTCATGCTATATTGTGTTACCAATACAGCACCACTGTGAGACTGTAAAAACTTGAGGTATGAATTAAGTCCAATCTATTGACCTGATCTTATATGGGCTATTTATATCAGTCCCTTTTGGGTGGGATCATAAAAACTGGTAAAAATGACTTACATTATACTTAAAATAATTTAATTTATAAATATAATAAATACTAACATCAACAACAACATTGTTGATAAGATTTTGTTCATACATGCTGTAAGGTAACAGGCAAAAATACTATTGTTTAACTGCATTAAAAGCTCCCTCAAGCAACTTTGCTATGACTAATAGCTCCTTTTGTTTTTTGTTACCTTGGCCTGATAGACCAAACCTGCAAACCTTGTGTATAACTTTAATAAAATAACATGTTTTTAACTAAAACATTGAAACATCTATCAGTATGGTACTTAGGTAAGAATGGCAACTTTAGTTGTGAATTCAACTTATTTCTTTATTTTAGGGGATTATCTGAAGACCCAGACAGCACCACAGAGTTACTCAAAAGTACAACAACATTAGGGAAGTGTATAATACACCATACAGATTTGATGACTGTTCTCAAGAAGGTTTATCAATAAAATACCTTTACAGAATGGTATTTCCAACAAAGGTATGTTCTCTTCAGACCAGGGCCCTGTTTCATAAAGAATCTGAAGTCAAAATCATTTAAACAAAATTCAGTTCACTGTTTCATTTTTAAAAACCTTATAACTAGGTTTCAATAACCTTGAATGTATTTACTCAAAGGCTGATGAAGCAGTCTTAGATTAGCACAGGCTGAAGCTGTGTAACTTGGGTCGTTTGCAAGAAACATAATGCTATGATTTTTGTATTATGTGACAAATTACAGTAACTATAAGACTGTGTTTTTAGCAGTGAAGGCTAAATGTAGCTTTTGTAAATTTTTCTGAAGGAGCCCCCATAAAGAGAAAGTATTTAAAGTGAATATGCATGTCTGTTAATCTTGTTCCAAATCAGTAAATATAAAATCTACAATGGATGAGACTCTGTTGTATGACTATATCTTATCTTCAAAATGATATTTCTAAAAATCTATAGCCTCTAACTCTCTGAAAATCATCTGTTAAATGCTTACACAGCCATTTTCAAATGTGCTTCTAGGACTGCCTTTGCCTAACCTACTTAACACAGTCAGCTATTCAAGGTTAGAAATTGAAGTCTTGAGACTTTTCCTGAAACAGAACCCAGGATCTACAGAGGGCATATAGAACAAGTTGATCCACAGACTAACAGATCTGCGGACTAAATATGGCTGACTCACTTAAAAGCAGCGCCAACTAATTCCATGATGGCCTCTTTGCCTCCACATGCACTGTCGCTGCAGTGGCCTTGCAATTAAACCTGGGAGCTGGGATTTAATCCGTTTATTGGCACATGTGGAGGTGGGGAGAGCACTGAGGACTAAGCAGCACTGCTTTTAAGTTCGGTCGGCCATATTTAGTGGCAGATCAGTTAGTCTGCAGATCATCTGTTCTGAATGCTGTAGATGGAACAGTGGCCATTTTCAAACTTTCAGGTCATCTTTCTCAGTGGGTGGTGACGTTACAACATCTGGGTCTCCTTTATTCAGTTTCTCCATTTCCTGTCCCTCCTCCTCTTCTTCCTCTTCCTCCCCCACTGCCCATGGCTGTACATCTCCAGATGCAAATATTCCATAGAAGATCACACCAAACAGATACACAGCAGCAGCTATGAAGAAAACAACCTGCCATTCCTCTCTGGTTGACTGGAAAGTGAAAAGCAATCTGCATGTTAAAAGTTGAATAAAATGGAAAAGCATCTTCTAAAATTAAATGTAATCAAAGAAAATGGAAATATACACGTGTGCGCTAGTGTTGCTATTTTGTCAAATTTCAGTTTAATTCTACCACTTCTCGAAACGATAAAATTCAGCAAACCCTTAATCTATTATTTGTGATTGTTTGAATATTCAAAGACTTTATACAACGATTTCATACCAATATGTCATGAATACGTGTTATGTTACTCTTATGGGCACAAACTTACATTTGACGTTATACTTCCGATGAGCACAGGTACAATAAACCCAGTGACTGAGGCAATGGTGTTGGTGATTCCAAACAGCATACCAGCATACTTGGGAGCAATATCCACATGGTTGATGGTGTAGCCACTGTATACTGCTCCGCTTATAGCTACACCTAAGGTCAACAAGGTCACAGCCAAAGCCGGCTGGGTACAGTCCACAAAGCTCAGGCCAACCAATAGAATTGCAGGAATAAGTTGACCTGAAGAAATTACATGTGTGGATGTAGCCATAAGACTATGATGACAAATAGTAGCAATCAAAATTAAAAAAAAAAGAAAAACTGTCAATGCACAAAATTACATCAACTCTGTGGGACAACTAACGCAATTTGAGCACAAATCTGTATCTGAAAGTATTGTTTCACACCTAGCCCAATATGCATGGCTGAATTGTCCAATCAAACCTCTGTTCACCACAAAATGTACAATCACCAAAATTAGCAAACAATCATTTAGACAAGTAAAAAGCTATTTGGGCAAGGTGTATATTAAACCCAGATGTGTCTGAAAAATAATAATCTCTACCTATGGTTTCCATCAATTTTCTCGCATTGGTAGTGCTGAGCCACCCTTTCTTTCTGAATAAATCTGCTCCTAACCCAGCAAGGTTGATCACAAGCCAGAAACCAATGTAGGGAATGGCAGATATGAGGCCATTCTAAAAGAAATAAGATCAATATCACTGTCACATGGGATTATTGTAACATATTACTTTTACCGAAAAAAAATTGTGTGAAGAGTACATCTTTTGTAGTCTCAATCAACACGGTTATAATTTTCAGAATCATTCAAGATTTAATCATTTAATCATTTAATTTCCACCAGAAAAATTTCTATTGTATGATTACTCTGCCAATCTAATTTTCTGTAATTAAACAATGGAACCTATACGAGTCGCAGAATTCAAAAAGTTGCTTTATGCTTTAATTTGAATTAAATCTCTTCAGGGACTATGCATTACACATGGGATTGCAAGAAAAAATCCAATTAACACATTTTCCTGACATCTTCTAGAAATTTTCTGAGATCTTCCAACCACTGCTCAATCCCAGTTCCATTCACAGATATACAATTACAAACATACTTCTTTTTTCACTTTAATTTGGCAAAATGTGATTTCTGGTATTTTTATTTTAGTACATATAAAATGTATTTCTTTTAGCAGGAGCATTAATTCTATTATATGTTACAGATATTTGGAATATAAACAAGGCCTCTTTTTAAAGAAAATGGGAAAATCTGTATCAATGATAATCTCTCTTCTGAAAAGGTTCTCTCCAACAAACTGATACTTACAGATTTGATATCAAACTTGAGAACTTCCTTAAAGTAGGTAGGCATGTTGGTCAGGAAGGTGTAAAGTCCCCAGTCTGAGGTGACATTTCCCACCACAATGGCCCATAAAGGCATGGAGGTTAGGAAAGCCTTCCATGGGATATGTGTGTGCTGAAAAAAACAAGTTGGTTGGTTACTAATTTGAATGTATCCATTTCTCAGTCACTGCCATATAGGACCATCAATTCCTGTGGGTGGTAAATAAGCCTACCCTCCTTCAGGTTTCCCTCTATTTTTCTCATGCTTGCCACCATCATATTCTGAATGTAGCTGCTTTTCATGAGAATAGTCAATAATCAATCATGTTAGCCACTATTTCAGATATGGTCAGGAAGTGTCTGTCTGTAAAATATAGCATATGGGGCATTCCATGTATTAGCTTTGCATTACAGCCATAACTATGAGTTTTAGTTTATAACCAATTACCCATTTTCTGAGATTTCACTGACTTTTTATGTGTTTACCTTTAGGAATTTTAGGACCTTTACTTCATGTGAGAAAATGCTAATAAAATTCATTTTGAGTGTTGTGTGCAAAAATTAAAAATTCTGTCCATAATGCAAACTTTCAGATTTTTCAAGTTTAAGGCTCTATAAAATCAATAATTCACAAATTACAACTAAATCTTTTATCAATTATTAAACCTTTAGTCTCTTTTTTCTAAGAAAGTGAAACCTTTGATTGATTTTTGAAAATTTGGAAATTTTATGTCCAGGACGCAGATCTTTTCAAATATCTTCTATTCAAACAAATTCTTTCATAACTACAGATATCAGTGAAAAGTGGTACTGACTTGATAACAGCAGGAGACAAAAATCAGCTCTAATCAATTTGGCAATGTAATGTAAATATATGCATGCAGCCTGTTCAGGTCATTTCCCATGAGGTCATAAACAAAAGTACAAACATTAATTTCTCTTGAAGATGAAAAAACCTAAAAGGCAAATTCATCATACAATTTGGTCATTGCTTTGTTCACTGAACTCAAAATATAAAATGTGTAGACCAACATTGCTGACAAATGCAAATGCAAATATATATATATGCTGGCATGCGCACGCACACACATTCCAGTGTTATTGATGCTAAATGGTCATCAATTATCATCAACTACAGTACCATAAACATGCAAATGGAAGACACATTAAAGAAATTTTACATTGAAAGAAAAAAAAAACATTACACATTTAACCCAAGCCTACCTCTTCCTGGAGGCAAATAAAAAGAACATTATCACTTATACTATGCTCCAAAGACATAACGATTGCAAAGTGAACTAAGGGCAATATAATGTAACACCTCTTCAACCAATTTATAATTAATTCCAGTGAAAAGTTGCTTACTGTGTGAAATATTTAATGCACTTCAATTTGGTTAAAATTCAGATGTCTGGATTAAGCATTTTATTGGTTTTTTAAATTAAGTTCACAATTAATCATCATCTCGTGATACAGCACAACTCTACCTTTTTGTCCTTATGATCCATCTGTCCCTTCAAACTCTGTAGAATAAAGTCCCTCTCAATAGCTGAGATGCGGGGATGGTCAGCAGGGGAATTGCTGACCAGTATCAACCATAATATACACCAGATAACCCCAAGCAAACCTGAAATATAACATAACACAGAATAAAAGAAATATCCATCTCTATTTTATTGATAAGATTAATAACTAAAATATATTAAAAAACTGCAAAATTGTAAAAATGATTAGGTTGGGATAATTGAGAGCCATCTTCGGTGGTGATGCCTATACTATATTGGAAAATTGCTTAACAAGATACATAATTATTGACTTTGGGTGAGGTCATCTCTTGGCTATATGTTTTGTTTCAAAGCTGGGATAATTAAGGACTGGTCAATTATCTCAGTATTGGGATGAATATATAACCAAGAGAAGACTGTTTTGTAACATAATCATGAATTTTGAAAACAAGACAAATTGAACATTTTTCAAAAGTTTAATGCTTTCAAAATAAAATGGAATACCATGGTGCAATATCACATACGAGAACAACAGGATCAAACTAGTCAACCAGCTTAAGAGAGAGATCCAAAATGGTGGCCAATATTGACCTGTTAGGAGGTCAATATGGTAAAATACTGACCACACGTGACTGTCTCTTGACCAGTCGATGAGTGCTAAATCTTGTGATCATGTAACAAAACCTGTAAACCTACATACATGTTTATATTTATAAATACCTATATTGCATAACCATGCAAGGTAGGGATGAAATTCGTTGATCCGTTTCAAATAAGTCTGTCTTTTATCAATCTCCAGTTACAAAATTCAAACAAGATTTACTTCAAACAGGGTAAAATATCAATTTTCCTCAGAGCTTATAAAAGCATCTTCATACAGTAGTTTGACAGCACTCTCTTATAACATTTACATAATTCATTTCAATAAAAGTCCCTTCAAAACAGTCTTGATCAATCATTTTAATCAAATCACTAAAGTGCCTCTAAAATGTCAGATGTGTGCATCCATCTGAGCCTTGTCTCAAACTATTCCTTAGTGCATCAAAATCCCTATCTATGAAGACCTTCTAAAGTTAATTGAATCTGTGCATCATATACATTGGAGGGGGGAGGGGGGGGCTACTCCCATACAGTACATTATATAAATATTTATAGGTTGTATGTTATCAGTCTGGAATCACATTACTTCGATGTGAAATAATAATGACTTACTACTACACCATCCAATTATGGGATGATATTCAATGAAATATTAATTGTGTACCATTGATTTGTATATGAACTATTACAAATGTCCAACAGTGCTCTTTTCTAGCACTTTTTCACAAAAATTCCTAAATGCATCAAAATCCATATCCTTCGAGACCTTCTCAAGTGTAAATAAAATGCGTGCCCTGTGAGTGGGCATATAATTTTTTTTTTTTGGGGGGGGGGGGGGGGGAGGGGAGGTACTTTTCACTGAAAGCTAAAGATAACCCTGCTAGTACAGGATTGACCCCAAGCAAGATCTAGTAATCCTATCTGTAATTTCCTTTGATAACCTGTACCAATCCAAGTAGACATCAGTATTAGATAAAGCTTTGAAAACACTATATTTATCTTTCTGTTAGGTTGTCTACTATTCCATGGGATTTGGGTTTAGAATTTGGAAGTTGATAATCAAGCACTGGAATTTTACAGTATCATAAAAAAGTATTAACAACTCAACATAAAACTTTTTGAAGTGTCACATAAATATCCTTTGGGTAGAACAGCCAATCTTTCTTAAATTAGAATATACATAATTAGAGCACAAAAATACCAAGAATTTATACCAAATTTCGTTTTCCTTTCTGTCATCATTGGATATCATCATGTGTAAAAATATTACTATTTCACAGCATGCAACAGTTGTATATCAAGCAACTTCAAGGGTTTGTTTATCAGTTAGCTAAGCCACGGGGATTATGTGTGAGTCAATCAAAAATTCAGTATACCAGGTAAAAATTCATATAAAAGTAAATGTAAAACTAAAATTCTAAAATCAGAAAATCAGATCTGATCCCTGGCAACTTACAACACTTTAAATGATGTATTATTGTATATAATACATCATTTAAAGTGTTTTGTTGTATATAATTATAGTAATCTCCCCATGGAATTTTGAACATACATTTTAAAAGAAAAAACTAAATGACAATATATATACAACATTATACAATTATTAATTTTTGGTGACATGTATTGCACACATTAGAAATGTGATATTGATTGAGGTGCAACAGTAAGTTTGGTTATCAAAAACAAAGATCAGCTGAATATAAACTACAACTGTTTGAGCAACATATATATAAAATCTGTGGGAATAATATGTTAAGTTAATCAAATGTGAATCAGTTAGAACTTAACATATGTATGGGAATTATGGGGAGGCAGTTACATAGGGACAGTAAAAATTCTGCACTACTTTTATAGCACTTCATCATAAAAACAACATTATTCAATAGTCAGGTCAACTATGTCTAAAATTCTATGTAAGTATTTAGGCAGTGGGTAAAGGCCTTGGGACTATTCTTGTGGCAGAGCATAAGTTCAGGTATGCAAGGTGGGTTAGGAACTGGCAAATTCCAGTATATATTAGCAGACTCCAGCCATGATAAATGAATACCTGGTTCATTTTCCGTAAATTCAGAGATCAAACTGTGGGCAGTGGCATTACTTTCTACGTAATTCCTAGAATATTGCTATGGTGCCAAGTTCTTGAAGGTGCTCAGATATATTATCTAACTTTACATTCACACATCTTTTCTTGTTGTTTTGTGGACAGCTACAAAAAGTTGGTCATGGTAAAGCTGATTAATACTTGCAAAGTACACACCAAGAAAAGCTTTGGATAGCTGATCAAAATGCCATCCTGATTACATGATATTCTCCTCACCAACCATTGATATTCCAAATGATGAAGTAACTGTCTCATTCTGATATTCAGAAAAAAAGCAAAGGTTGAGGGGCAGTGATCTGAGTACCAAACTTTCCCACTGAGGTCTAGCAACAACAAAAGAAATTCAATATCAGACTGTCTTATCAATAACCCCAAATTATCTAAGTTCTCAAGGTGTTCATCCCAGACTGCCCACCAGGATAATAGTTTACAGCATAGAATCTATTTCTATTTTCAGCTACAGTTTCAGACCAACTGACCTATAGACATGTTGTTTTTCAAGGAAAAAGGCAGAGAGTGGAAACCAAGGGATTTTCTACCCCAACAGTACAAGCTCAAAATAATAGTACATGCCATAAACATGAGGTTATTTTACAGGCTAGAATCTGTGATTAGTTACACGTTTTCTGGGGGAATGAAAATAAATTTGAAAGACAAGACCAATAATTAAGCATTACATCATTGTTAATTACACCCCTTAATTTTCTAAATTTAACTTAAGTTTGTCTATGTTTGCATCTGTCCAGAGGCAGTTTTTTTTATTAAACAAAACCCCAGGTTCCTTCTCTTTTTTCTCTAACTGTAATAACCAAAATACAACTTCCAATTTTTTAAAATTCCTCCTACTTTTCCAGATAATTGCCAACAGTCCAACACCAGTGCCTGATAAGCAACTGATTAAATATTAATATTTTCTAGTATTATCTGCAAGTGTGAACTAAATTCTTTCCAGTATAAGACCTTCCAGTATAATTATTCTATTCAGCACGTAGCTAAGGTTTGGTCAATATGTAAACTTACCTAGAATATAGAAGATGGACGCCCATCCTCCATCAAAGCCATACTGGCACAAAAACCCTCCTAGAGGTAGTGTGAGGATATTACCCAGTTGGGTACCTGGAAAAGTATTAAAACTGAAAATTTGTATTACTTTAAATATTTTGAACACGAACTACATGTATACATGTATCTGAATTAAAATATATTTTTTTCAAAGGCATGCTCTACAAACAAGTTAATATACTTAATGAAATAAGAAAAAAATGTCACTTCATCGCATGATCCTAAAAGGAGTCAGAACTTCTTCCAATTATTGTAAATATTGTTGACAGATATATTTAAATTAACTGATAGCTCTTTACAGTACCTGCATAAGTGAGTCCAGTCAGTTTGGATCTCTCCATTGGTGGAGCCCAGTTGGCCCATATAGTATGCATCACAGGGAAAGCAACACCCTGAAAATAATTAAGTATCACATAAAAATTTAATAATGTCATTTTATCTTTTTTTCAAAAATACAAATGCAGAAAGAGAGAGAGAGAGAGAGAGAGAGATGGAGACCATTTGATATCCAGATTCAGTGTGAGGCCCCTTGAATGGGAGCAAGGCAATATATGTATCTGAATCTAACTGTACATGTAGCATAATCAGTATATTCAATAAAATTATCTCAAAACAATGACAATGTACTTAAATTTGGTATGCAATATCAAATGATGCAATGCACCAAAGTTCATTGACCTTTTTTATCACAGACTTATAACCATTCATGGCAGGTTGTGAAAAAGGGGCATCTAGATAAATGTTCATTTCCACATTCAACACCAGCAACCCAGTACATGTTGAGAATATAAATTCTGTCTACATGCAATGCATCTGGTTAATAAACCATCCAGGTTGCTTCATAAATATTTAACACATCTCCTACACTAATGAAGTGGGATGTTTTAGCATTGCCATTAAGTGGTAACTGAGCTACAGACCTTAGGTATATGGGATTTTGGTTGACACCAAAAAATAACAAGTTCAATATGATATACGACATTGTAATCAACTTGTATTTGCCACTTTGGTCAGCAGCTTGCTGCAGAATTATGCTGTAGCTGCTGTTAGAACAATAACATCCCATTTATTACCCCAAAATAATGATATTTTCAATATTGTTCAATATAGATTGTAAGATTAGGAAGTTTAGGAGTTAAACATTTTTATTCTGTGTGTTATGCTAAGCTAAACATATTTTTTTTGCCTCACGTGTATTCTGAATTGTTTTAGCGAAAGATTATAGTCACTAATTACAAATGGATATATATGACTCATGACAAATGACTTGGTCAGTTTGAACATCATACTAGTGCTGCAATACTTACTGAGCCCAGACCAACTAATATTCTCATAAAGATTAGAAATCCCCAGTGAACTCTGGCTGCTATTGGGCAGAAGATGGTAGCAATGGAGGCTATAAGCATGGAGATTCCAAAGACCCATTTTCCACCGAATCTCTCTGCCAACCAACCCCCAGGGATCTGGGTTGCCAGGTAGCCATAGAAGAAAGAGCCTAAAATATGCCCTTGGATGTCCTTACTCCATATGAATTCACCATTCTGAAATAAACAAAAACAGTAATAAAAAAAATGATAATTTGATGTTTTGCAACCAAAGTTTGAGCAAAGACCCCATTCCCAGAGATTTGATCGATCCAACTAGATCGACCTAACTCCCTGGGGGTTCATGCTAAATAGCTGTCAGCTGAGCGGGCACGGAAGTTAATTACCCCCTTACAACTTGTAGTAGGTGGGACGGACATTTAAGCCGGATTTTCTGACAGTAATCTAGTGAGACTCCCCATGGGGATAGATCGATCTAAAATCTATGGGAATGTGCCCAAAGAGGAGCATGTAGTTATTACCACAGAGATTTGTAGCTATTTTCCATTTCTTGACTTTATGTCATGTTTTTATTTATCCAGCACCAACTGTTAAAACAAACTGATGCCGATTTCAGAGATTAAGCACCCAGGCTTTTAACAGCAATTTCATGAGATTGCAACATGTATAAGGATACTTACCATGGCCCATAGGAGCCTACGCGTGCGTCTTTTAGACGCCCCTTTACATGCGAAAACGACAAGGCCTATGCCGAGTTCGTCTTTTACTACAGAGCTTTGAGAGCCGAAAATGACATGGCTGTGTCTCTTTCGCCACTTACTGAACTCCACAGATGCGAGATTGACACGAACCATGTCGCGTTCATCTCTCAAATGACACTGTTATAAAACATGAAATAGGCATAACGTGTGATTTTCGCAGCTGAATAAGTAGACCCTTATAAACGAAGTTGACGTAACTTGAGAGTCATGTCGCTTTCAACTCTTAGTTACAAACCTCCAACAAAATCTATCTCCACACAGACGCGCGCGACATGTACTATTGGACATGGGTCAGTTGAAACCCTATTAACCTAAAGGGCTCATGTTACTTTCAGCCAACTCTTATATGTCAAATCCAATTAATTTGAAACAGTGTTGTGCTGTCCCAAAACATTTTTTTCATTTGAATCCCATCATAATTTAGTGCTATCTAGATAACAGTGTGGCTAATTGCTTGTAATAATTATATGGCCTCATATTTTTATTTTCAAGGATTCAAATATAAAGGGTTTTAAGACGGTCCTTCTGTTTCAAATTAATTGGCTGAAAGTAACATGAGCCATTTAGGTTAATGTCGCTTTCAACTGACCCATGTCCAATAGTACATGTCGCGCGCGTCTGTGTGGAGATAGATTTTGTTGGAGGTTTGTAAAAGTTGAAAGCGACATGACTCTAAGGTCACGTCAACTTCGTTTATAAGGGTCTACTTATTCAGCTGCGAAAATCACACGTAATGCCTATTTCATGTTTTATAACAGTGTCTTTTGAGAGACAAACGCGACATGGGTCGTGTCAATCTCGCATCTCTGGAGTTCAGTAAGTGGCGAAAGAGACACAGCCATGCCATTTTCGGCTCTCAAAGCTCTGTAGTAAAAGACGAACTCGGCATAGGCCTTGTCGTTTTCGCATGTAAAGGGGCGTCTAAAAGACGCACGCATAGGCTCCTATGGGCCATGGTAGATACTAATTATAGTATGAGAAAGTGGAATTAAGTTTGCAAAACTGTTATTAAATTAAGAAGCATTTTGTACTAATAATTCAACTTATTACTTTTTAAATATTGCCAGCCCTACCGATACCATGGGAGTGAGAGAATTACATTTCAATTTCAATAACAATTCGCTAAACAGGGTATCTTAACTATACTCATCTGCAAATGATAAAAGATATTACCTGAAATCTTTAGAATGAAGCAGAGATTTGTTGCAAAGAGAGTAAGGCAATAGGATATACACATATAACTCCACAAACTAAATCTTTTATATGATTTTACAAGTAGGATTCTGACGTTTGAAACACTTCTTTGAGATCTTTTAGTGATATCTTTAGAATGAAGCAGAGATTTGTTGCAAAGAGAGTAAGGCAATAGGATATACACATATAACTCCACAAACTAAATCTTTTATATGATTTTACAAGTAGGATTCTGACGTTTGAAACACTTCTTTGAGATCTTTTAGTGATATCTCCTTGATATCTGTGCAGCATACTTCAGCAGGCTTCCTTTAATCAATTAATGGGTGAATTGGAGCATTATTGTATAAGGCAGGCATTCATCTTGCCTGACCAATCCAGACAACATTCACACTTGAGAAATCTCCACGGAGAGCTTTCATGGATTCACACAAGATAAAATCAATGCTTGCCACTGAAGCCATGATCAACTGATGAAGTTATCTTGTCTGTTTTCTGAGTTTTAAAGATTTTGAATTGAATCTGACAGCTTGCTTTCTAATTTCATAAAAAATCACAGTAAGTTCTGCTGAGATTTAAACATTTTAAAGGATAAAGATTAAAAGCAAATTCTAACATCTACAGGGTACCATAACTGTGATCAAAAAGTAGGAAAACATGAAAAAGCTTTCACTTCTATAGTCATTTTATTGACAGAGAGTAAACTTGTATAGAGTTTTTAATACAAGTTACCTACATAAACCACTTCTTGTTGATCTTTTCTGATGACAAGTAATACTTTTTGTTCATTTTTAACAGATTTACGAATGCCATGGATAATATTATATTTATATTATGTTTTTCAAAAATTAGTAAATAAATAAATAAATGAAATTTTCCCCTCTTGACAGACCTCACTGCCCATCGACCAATTTGACAGTATGAAATCTCTAGGAATCTAACAGCCTTTGCAAGAATTGACCTCACAGGAATGGTTTTCAATTTTCCCAGATTGTTACATAATTAAGACGGTATCTGATAAAAAGGATCACATACAGGTTGGTCACTCAAAGGAAAAACTGTTTATTCCATCAAAAAGTATGATTTTTTCAAAAGAAAATGCTGTATACATACCTTTTAGTAAGGTTTAATGCATGCTTTTGGATTTGTCACAATCTCAATATTAATGTCAAAACACTAAATGCATGTCCACATCTAGCGTGGCCTCTATTAACCCAAAAACACATCAGTCTTTTGCAGAAGTCAGGTTAATAAATCAGGTACCTTGACGGTTAAATAGTCCATGTCCATCCATCTATATGATTAATTTTTCAGATGTCGAGCAAAGATATAGCAACATAAATGCTCAATGTCTTTAGGCCTTTAAATCAGCAAATCAATAATTATTATATACATGTTATACTAAAAAAATTCCACAATGTTTTATGTTTTACTGTGCTGCTAGATTAATAGTTATTCAGTTAATCTCATACTGTTAAGAAGGCGTGGTCATTTAGCATGGACTTGTAACAGACTGTTTTCCACAAATGTGCCATTAGATGACAACTGTGCATGGAATGTACTGTGTCCATGTGTGGAACTAGCACTGCTACAGACCTTTATACCTACACTGAAGAATGTGAGTGAATTAGTAGTGAGACATTGACCCTTATTGCTTTTTTAAACATATTCATTGAAAACTTTGGGCTATTTTATCTGAGGGCCAATCTTTTAAAGGGCTGGGTTAATTTACTTAGATGAGCTAAAATCTTCATTATATAGATTAACAGACACAGAAACATGAGCTACAAAAAGTTGGGGATTTAATAGGCTGTTCAACATGAAAACTTAAAACCACAAAAAATAGATACCAACACATGCTACATGGTTTAATCTTCAGCCCATGACAAAATGAAAAATAACAATTATTATTGGGAAACTAATTATCATATATAGTTCACTGAAAAATGATTTGGCTTGAACAATTAAGACTGTCCAACAATCAAGTCTAAAAGACTGAGCAAGGCATGAAAATTTTTCATTTAACGAAGTCATCTGCATGTATATATACATACCACACCATCTGATTCCCCATCACCAGCTCCAGGGCACACAACTCCAGTTGGGTCTGGCTGGGTAGTAGTCTCATTTATCATTCCCTTGACTATAAAACTTGTATTATTCTCTCCATAACTTGTGTTGTACCATACGGTGTCTGAAAGGTTCCCATTGACTGAGGATTGCTTGTTTAGTATCTCTGTAGCTGTGTGATTGACCATACAGACAAGAGCCACGCTTATATTGATACGGAGGGCGTACAAAATGAAGAAACCCATGCAACCAATGGCAGCAAGACCAAGGCGACAAGAGCACCAGAAAGGCACTAAAAATAAAGATGTAAATAAAAATATTACAAACATATGACAATGCAGAGTATATCATACTATCTTGAGGCACTAATTTCAAATTTGGCTATTTGAAAGAAATCTGAAAACCACCAAGTGGGTTGTACTTGTTCACTGTTACCAGAGAGAAATAGAAAAAAAAAACAAAACATCTGATGTATGATTATTGCTTTATATAAATCTTCAAGACAAAAAACACTTAATTGCATGTGTTACACCTAAAAGACATGCAATAAACCAATAAAATGTAGACACATTAAAAAGAAGACAACATTATTAAATATTGTAAAGGTTAGCTAAATCAAATGCTTGGGTAAATTATATTTGATTGCGACTTAAAGATACAGGACCTGCTACAACAGAACAGCAAAGGTGTGGTAACATGAATAACAAATGAAAAACATCAAATAAAATCTAATACAAAGTCGAGACAGTTTGACAATACCTGCCGCTGAGAGGATGTCAAATAAGTGCATTCATGTTTAAGAAAATATGAGAAAATACCTTACATAAGATTGTAAAAGAAAATAAGTGAAATAACTATTGGACACGAATACGTAACCCAGGGTGAACCTAAGAAATTGTCCTATGACACAAAGCTGAAAAAGAATGAATGTGAAAAATACACAAATTAAATCACTACAATGAATACTTTACCATCTTTTGGGTTAATGGGCCCATCATAGTCCTTCGGTTTATCAGGCATGGCTGCTGAATGTGAGAGAAAAACAAACCTAGATGTGCAAACCTAGATGTTCAGTGATGACTACAATAGCCAAGCAACATGGCAAGGAGAGTCACGTGAAAAATTTGTCTCAACATGTGGTTATACTTTAAGTGACCTTTCTCATGTCATTAATAGGAAGATCCAAGGTCATTCAATGGACATGAAATTTACACGTGTGAAAAACCACAGTTGAATGATGGCACCCAAGCGCCCTGTAAGGATTATACAGCGGGCAAGTGCAGACAAAGGTGGATTCCTGAGGTGCGTCTATTACCTATGACCATGTCTTGATGTATTTTGTAACACATTTCATGATAAAAGAGGTACATATTTATATTCATATAAGGCTCCCCATGGACAAAAGGATATAAATACCACTTTTCAAAGTTGTACCTAAAATAATTTTTCACCTGTTACTGCTGGGGTACTTACGTCAAAGCTTCTTATTCAGACTACGTACCCAAAAACTTCTAAAACCTATACAAAAGAGTACTAGAACTACCTGTAGGTAACATTCCTCTTTTGGTCATCACATTCTACAGTAAACATTAGACTTTAATTTAACTGTCAAAAGAAAATTGGTGTAAATTAAGCATTGGACAAGAAGAAAGGGACCGTCAAAACTAACCATTTTTATAACTGAAAGATAAAAAAATGCGCCCAAGGTAAGATATTTCAAAATAACTCAATAGACATCCGCAGGTATTATGTGCAAATGAAAGGTAATACATACACTAAATTATTGTCTCTGGGACATTATTTAAAATGTGCCAAAGGCGATTTCAAATGCACAAGAGCATCACTGGATTTTCATTAAATTACTAATTTTTCACCCAAAATATGTTATGTAATGCATTTTCTTCATTCATAACAAACAGCACATCTTCATCTTATGTATATAGACGTAACAACACAAGCCACAGGAGCAGGCCAAGATCAGACCTACAAGATTGAACTGGCTGGTCCCATACATCACAGCAGCCAATGCAGACAGTGGGGGGGGAAGGGGGGGTCCAATTTTCTGCTGGTGTGTGCGTGTGTGTGTGTGTGTGTGTGTGTGTGTGTGTGGAGGGGGGGGGTGGAGGATAAAATATATTTGCCTACTTGTGCATATATATAATAGAAGTCTAGCAGATTAAGGCACATTTACTATCATATGTTGAACACATGGATTGAATTGAACAAGTGGTTTTGTCTCACATAATTTTATATATTGTTTTTATGTGAGGTAGAAAAGGTAGAAAGGGATATCTCCAATGATAAGGGTTACTAAATAGATACCATTAAACAACAAACTCTAATACCAGCTGCAGAAATTTTGTTTCGTTTCGTACATATATGTTAATATAACTCGGTTATCTTGGCTATCAGAAGTGAATTTATCCTCAGGTACTAACTCTTAAAAAATTATGCAGAATCATCATGACTTACTATTTTTCAAGGTCAAAATATAATCAATATGGCTTGGGGGGGGGGGGCATTAATTTTGTGGGCGTCATATTCATCATGCCACATACATACTATGAAAACCATTTAAAGATGTTTTAACATTAAAATGGGGAGCACCTCCCCCCCCCTCTACTCGTATACCGTCTGCCTCTGACATGAGTGAAATGAGCGTCGTTGGCAACAAGCCAATATGGTAGTAATTAATGTCTTATCATCTCATTATTTCTAACAAGAAATGCATTAATCATATCTGCATAGGGTTTTACAGGAAGATCCATGAGTAGTAACGTATTTCAATGAATTATGAAATGGCTGGACATTATGATATATCGATGATGTTTGTGGCGCACGTACCAGTACCACGCGATGTTCTCTTTCTGCGGGTACGCAGTACAGTGCCATTATGATAATATGGGGACTGTAGAACTCGATATTTTGGTTCGAAACTTACCGTCCGTAACACCAACAGAGTCTTCATCATGATCTCCATTCACATCATATCGTTTGCCAGTCATCTTGCCGCTCGCGATGGACGTACCTCTCCTGCCTCCCTCGATCTCACCTTCCACGTTTCTTGTTCAGTTGTAGTGGCGCACGCACACTTGCTTTGTGTACTTGATGAGAAGGTCGACCAATCAAGAAAGCGGTTTCAGAATCCATTCATCTGGTTTGTTGAATGTGAACAGTGAACTACGTGATATACATGTACAGTGTGACCGTGAGACAAGAAAAATATATCACTGGAAATAGTCTTAATGGTATTGTAAACCTTTTATTAGCATCCAGATACCGAAAATGAGTTTTTCCTGTATCTTATTGTTCAATAATACATCTATCTTTGTGCTGATTTAAAAAATGAAATAAAAAATAAGAAGAAAAAAAAAAAAAAAACATCGAAAATATAAAATACCGGCGTTTATATATCTCGTTGTAATGTATAAGCATAGGGAACTCAAAGCTTTAATCGTCAACTTAACACCTTTCTACATGTATTTCAGGAGCGGATCCAGGTTTATTTGAAGGGGGTGTCTGCAGATGCGAAACCGCCCCCCCCCCTCCCCCTTGGCTGGTATTTAAGAGGGCGTACGGTTTAGAACTATGATTCAGCTAATCAAAATTGGTGTGATTTTTTTCAGAAATCGAAGAGGGGGGGGGGGGGGGGGGGGGCAGGAAACCCCTCACCCCCCCCCAAAACCCCCCCC